AGTCGCTTGCCATTACCATCGGAGCATATCCAATTGACGGTAGCTCGAAAGCTGGCCTCTTTCTTGTACATATATCCGTTGAATATGAGATTATAACCCTGCTTCTGGTTTCGCATATAAAAGTATTTGCAACCATTTAACCAAACGCCAACCGGCTGATGACCTCTAAATTGGCCCATTTCAGCTGCAATGGAAAGAAGAGAAGAGATGGCGGAATAGAGTGTGGGCGGCCGGTTGTAGGCGTTGCGTACTTATGTCCTAAGGTAACGGTAACTAAAACTTAGAGCAAAACACAGAGACGAAGTGTCGGTACGGTAAAATTTTTATTTAATTCATTCATATTGCATTAATATTGATTGGGTACTAAGAAATTGTTGAGATGGAGAAATGTAAATAATTTGTCAGTTATATGCACTTACCAGTTGGTTTACGAGCTAAAAACAAATGGGCTGTAATTAAGACTCTACGAATATGGGAATATTTGCATTTGAATTGTAATTGTAACTGCCGTAATTGTTTTCATTTTTTTCGTCGGCGACCACCACTACGCCGCGCCGCCTGTCCAACCGAATCCCTTTCGATTGCTCAAAATATCAGATGTCACACAGAAAACACTCACCCACATTAGCCACACGCAAATGCATTGCTTTCTTTACCTTTAGAATTTGAACTGAATAGTTACTATTTAAAGCGCATTTTATTCATTTCTGTTTGGGTTTATATTTTTATACCCACGCCACTGCACACACAAACACAACCAAACGCTTCACATTCGAGAACCAAGAAATTTTCTATTTTGTCACAAAGCCTCCTGAACTTATGAATAATAAAACATTATTACTTTGCACTTTTGAGTTACACAGAAATCATTATTTTTTTAAGGTTTGAACAACAAATCAGTTTGCAATACCAAGCAAAGCGAACGCGGCGAAAAAAACTATACACTACAGAAAAATGGCGTGCAGCAACGAATATGGCAGCACTGCATCGGATGGCAGCATTGAGCTGATGTCAAACGTTGCCACCTCGCCAAGTTAGTACAGTTAGTGTTTTTTACAAGGCAGCATATTTTTTTACATTATTATTGCCTTGTTTTTTTTCGATTTAATTATGATTTAATAAAGCCTTGCATAGCAGAACCGTTTCACCTGTTGTTTTATTTTGTTGCTTGTTAAGTTTTCGCAAATTTAAGCAATGTTTTTAACCTGTTGCTTTGTTTTTTCTGCGCCTACCCATCTTTTATGCACATGCAGGTATTCTGCACGTAATTCCAATTCCACGTCGACGTAGGGGTCGTCCAAAAACTAAGATCGATGAGGCACCAAAACTGAAGCTTATCGACAGGTTGAAGGAAGCCGCCAAAAATGAAGCTGAAAGCGAGCCCGCGGTCTACGCTTCCACCACAAAAGGTGAGTGGTAAAGAAGAGTCATTCGGAATCAGTAATTATATTCCAACTCTTCCAATTACAAGGGGGCGTAAAACTGCTATACAATGGACACCATTTCAAGTTCTCGTTCCGAAAGTCGGCATATTCTGTATTCCAGTGCTGTTACAAGGAAAACCGTGAAGAGTGCAAAGTGCGTGTGGTGTGTGACCAAAAGCGTGTTTATCCTTTCGATGTATGTATAATTATTTGGGGAATGTAACTACAAGCTAAAATGTATATTGTCTGATTTTCAAAATAGGGTGAACATGTGCATTTTGTACAGGCGAGCGACAAGAGTGTGACCAGTTCACAGTTCATGCCAGGGGATGGGGAAGAATCACGAGTCCACGAGGACCGGGAAGAAGAGTTCATCGTGGAGACGCCGCAAGTGTTGCCGGAGGCACCGGCGGATGAGGAGGATGACCAAACAAGCTATGTTGAAATCGAAGATGCTGAGCTCGAGGAGCAAGTGGTGGAGTTGCTAATTAAGCCGGATCCGGATGATGCGGAAGACAAAGCAATCACAACAAGCGAAGATAATAATTCGATTACTAACCCTGCAGAAGTGGATCCCACGGATTTCCGCGAGAAAATAAGGCGTCGCCTTCAGAAGGCGCTAGAGAACAAGAAATAGCTGCCTTCCTGTAAATGGGCTAAGCACTATAGTGCCGACATACATATATACATACATACATATGTATTATTTTTGCATAAATTAATTACCTTTTTCTATTCATTTTGCGTATAAATAATTATGTTTCATTAGAAACAAATTTAGCATAGTTTTTTTAAATGAAAGTGAAGACAATAAATCACAATCAAAGCAAAAAAGTCTTTAGCTATAGTTCGTAGAAATAAGCTGTTCAATTTTGTAATACCTTCCAACAAATTCTATTGATTAATGTGAGTTCTATTGGACTTGGCCTTTTTTTTCTTCTCTTCTAGTCACTCAACATGTACGCAACTGTGGCCCCCAACTATTTCTAATAAGCCGAAAAGGAGGAACCCTTTTAACGGTAAACAATTTCATCTACAGATCGAATTTGAAATTCTTTGGCAAACAGAACAACATACTGTATTGGGAGTGTGTGCAGAATCGTTCGCTAAAATGCCGTAGTCGACTCAAAACAATTGGTGACGATCTCTATGTAACAAATGGTGTGTGGAGTAACCTTTTCTTGTCATTGAACAAATCTTAAATGTATTTTTTGTCTATGCTAACAGATGTCCACAATCACGAAGGTGATGTGCAACGCATCGATGCTGCGAAGCGCGCCGGCATGCTGATCCTCAAGAAACTTAGTTCGCTCACATCCGCCGACAGCAAGATGGTAAAAATTGATCATACATTTTGTACATAAATAGGTATAGCTTTTTAAGTGTGCAATTCAGCACCCATTCCCTAATTAATAAGCGCTTAGTAAAGACACGTTCATAGCTATACATATGTATGGCTAGCACGAATAAATATTCATTAGAACTTGCTAGGATCTTACACTACGCTTGTACAGAAGAGAAGGTACACCTTTTAGTTGATTTGACAACTTCCACAGTATTTTGATTCAGAAAGAAAATAATATTTTAATTGTGTTATCTCTGTTCATTCTCCATCAAATCAAAAATGCTGCAAAGTTTTCCAACGGCACTTTAAAAGATCAGATTGGACTTTATCTTTCATACTAATGCAAAGGAACTTCAAATAAATCAGCATCGTGGGAGAGTCTTGAAGAGAGACGAAATCCAAAGAGCTTACAAAGTTTATATCGCGGTTAATACATATATGTTTATGCTAAATCAATTGCTAAATCTTATTTAACTTAAAGCAACACCCCAACGGCAATTTATTATATTATAGAAAATCATTCCCATTAACATGAATATACATTTTTTGTAATATGCCATTATCCATTTATTTATAATATTTAATTATTTAAGGAACTAGGAATTCGGGTTTTACCTCAATATTATCAAAACTTTTCCTAGACACGTTCTTATGAAAGTGTGAGGCGCAGGTTAGACGATATTTAATATCCGAGCCCACCAAAAAGGTTCTGGCACGCGCCTTACAACCCTTATGATGGTTTCGACAACGCCACGTACCGACTCGAATATTATCCGGATCATGTGGACGGTGCAAGATAAATTGTTCGATGCCAACAACCAACTTCGGACGATTAGTTATGGAGGTGTTAAACACTGCAGAACCGTCAAATTCCTTGTCTTTTCTTTTGTAGCGCCGATACCGTACTGAAAAAAGTAAAGTTTTAAAAATTAGTAAACAATTCGTAACTTAATAGGTTTCGCAACGAAAGTTTAAAAAAATAATAATAATCGCTCGATAACCTTTTTATTACCATACTATAATATTTATTTTTGATTTAATATGCGGTATTTTTTTTGAACAAAAAACTTAGAAATTGTATAATTAAAACTAATATGAGTTCTTGTGAAAATGTAAGGGATACGTTAAGAGATATTTAATATCAAATTTCCCGAACGAGCCTTGCATCCTTTGCGATGATATCGACAACGCCAACTGCCAATTTTGTTATTGTATGGATCGTTGCGATGCGAGATGAATTGTTCGTTGCCAACGATTAACTTGGGGATTTGTCCTTGATTTGTTGAATATTGCAGGGCCGTCAAAATGTATGTGTTTGATTCTATGTATTTGATTCTCAATCTCATCTGGTGGATCGTAGACTGAAAAGCAAGAAACAGACAATCAGTAAAATGAGTTTTGTAAATTGCAATTTAAATTGGCTCCGTTTTTAATGAATAACTAGTAGAACTTTTAAAATTTGCGTTCATTTATGTACATGTATTGTACATACAGGACATGAATTGAACATTTTATTGAGAACTTTCACACATACATATGTATGTTTATACTAAACTTACAAAAATGTACACTTAAGACTAGGAAACTTATCTACAGTCATACATACAATATATTCAAACACACAACAAACGTAATTCCCATCTGAGTCTGAATTTTGCCAAAGCGCATTTAACTTAGGAGGGGGCGACATTTCTTCAGGGGCAGGTCTTAAGTACTTATGACCTAAGCAACAATTAATTCAGCATTTGTAACGCCGTCAAGGCGTTATTTATAAATAGAAAATGGATTTAATTTTGAATGAGTAAGCTACAATCACAATTTACTATTTCATCGTAGACGTACTTTGTTCAAAACCCATAAATTAGCGCTCGCTTAAACGAAAAGTGCATTCTTGTTTTCGTCTATCACTTGACTTAAAAATTCCAGTTACTAAAGCAAACATTACCATTTCACTTATACAAGTATAATGGTCCATTTAAATTGAATATGTAATGAAATTTTATCAACCAATTGCCTTTAATATGTTCAGAAATTAGGTACGCTTTCCATTTAAAAAGTTAAATAACAAATACTATATATGAGAGTGTTTCCGGCAAATGGTTTTGAAATAAAGATTGTAGTCTGCATGAATTCTTTTAAATACTTCTTCCAAGAAAACTGAATGTTTCAACTTTACAAAAACCACAAGTATTTACAATTTTTTTTGAATTTCTAAAATAACAAATGGTACGTAAAAAGGTACTTAGAAGTTGGATTTTGTACATAGAATAGACTGGCTAGAATAAAAATCACTACTTTATAAACCATTATTTGAAAAAAGGTACGTTTGCTGCGTACAAAGGTATTTTCGAACCCTTCCCTTAATAGTAAGTCTCTTTACTATTGCCACGATAGGAGTAATAAGATACTACCCAGAATATTACTTTCAGCCGAGAATTGCCGTCAACTTTTTAGGAACGCAACCGGAAAGAAACACACAAACTTAAACTAGTAGTCCTTATTTAAAAACATCGCTCCGTGCGTCTGTCCCAACGATTGTAATTGTGGCAGTTGCTCCGACGATGGCTGTTGCCGCTGCTGGTGTTGTTGCTGCTGCTGCTGCATAAAGGCCATCACTTGAGAGGCTGTAGTGGCTTGTACTGTCACTGGCATGGACAGCGGAATGGGCAGTGGCACTGTCAGATGGTGGGTGGAGTATGGCGCCGCCAGCTGTGATATGTTGGACGCCAGCTCTAGTCCCGTAGAGGCTATGGCGTTAATATTTGATACTTTATTGCCGCTGTTGACATTACCATTACTCTTGGCCTGGCAGTACCGCTGACAGAGAGGCAACAATTCTTTGTGGCGTCGCTTGATGTGGCTTAGGAAATTGCCTGTTGATTTGTGTGTGCCTGAGATAAGGCCGTAGCAGGTGGTGCAGGTGGCTTGAATGCCACCAGGCGTCTTCTGATTTGGTTGTATATTCTTATAAAACTTACCATCTAGTATTTTGGGCAGAGTAAAAGGCTTACGGAAGGACTCATCGTCGCTTAGACACGTGGCAGAGAGGACATCGGTGGGTGTAGACGTGGTGGAGTGCGGCTCCAACTTCACCTCGGCTTTAAGCTCACCTGTAAATCAGAGAGTAGTAAAAAAATTATGATTAGTAAGACGGATAAATGCACTTAAGACAGACCTATGCTTACGAACAAAAACGCGTTTGCTTAAAAATCACAAGAATTCAATTATTAAGATTAATTTAATTTATTTCAATTAAACTAGGTGTTTATGGCCTAAGCATAAATTCTGACTAAGCGATTGCGTGCGATATCGTAATAAACTATAATTGCTGCTCCTCAGGCTGCCAAGTATCGTCCAGCAATCCTGGCAAGTCAATGGAATTATCCGTTCCTACTTCCGGGCCATGGGTGTGCGGGGCACCCGCAATGCGTAAAGCCATATCATCGTTTACCTTGGAAGTCACCAAGGTGGCTCGACAGCAAAACTTCACATAGCGAGAGCATCGCCAGAATACATTCTTAAGACTCTGGCGGTTCACAACATAACGATAACCATTGTATATTAGCATGATCCGCCCTCGTTGCGTGGTTGTGTAGCGTATATTGGAACTCGTCGCCTTATCCTCGAACAGCGCCTTAATCGATTGCATGACGCCTGCAAGATAGAGAAAGTACCGGTGTTAGTTTAAAGTTAAACACATATTAGTATAGATTGGCAAGGACAGACAGCATTTTTCGATTAGGGTCTCACATTTTAATTAGGCTACAGTTTTCTCTTTTATTTCATTTTACAGTTAATAAAAATATGCTCGATAATATATTTTTGATTTATGTTTATTATTATGCAGGTTTCATGTTTGCTATCTTGTGTTCTATATATTGTTGAACAATGGTATCCTGAAGCTTCTCGCCGCGCATTTCAAACACCTGGCATACATGCGCTGCAATAAAAATAAATATTGTTATCTAAAATCATTTTTTGTTAGTATATTTAAATTATTACTTATAATGGCCTTTAGTAAGTGTTCCTCAAGTTCTGCTTCTTTTTTGGCCACAAGTTCCAATTTTTTACGACCAATAACCAAATCCGTAACCCGCGAAGTGTAGATGCACGGCATTACAATGAAGGCTTTCGCCAAATCCTTTTTTGAAACCAAGACGTTGCTGCCCGCATACAATGGAATGGCGTCGTTATCCTTGTTCACTGCCTCTGCAATATTTAGCTGGGCTGCTAAAACATATATTGAAATTCACCGTTAATAAGGCGTATACTGTAACCAATATTATTGATATATAAATAAATCAAATTCATTAAATCAAAAATAAAACACACTATAATGCTTGTGGAGGAGTCTTTATTTTGCATATTAAAAGGACTGCTTAAAAAAGCATGTTGCGGTTGCATCGTGTGGTGGCACGTCGGCCACATATATATTTCACAGTTAATACGTGCACAACTTATAATAACACAAGTCATTGGAGAATGATAAACAACACAGCTTTACAAATAAATACACCAATTTTTTATTAAAAATAAACACTATTCACAAATATCAGTAAACAGCAAGCACTGCACGCAAGTGGCACAAAACAAATGCGGAAATGGCAGCGCGCAGTGTTGCATTTCAGTGCAACCATCCGGCAACACCAGTTTTCGCCGAGTGAAATAAAGAAAAAGCAGCAAAACTGACTGTGGCGAGGTGGAATTTATTTTATTTGTTATTCCAAACACAGGGCAAACAAAAGTATTGCATATAAAAATAACTCGCGTAGATAATGTGCTTGTGCGGGAATTGTTAAACTAAATGATTATTGTGTATTGACGCCACCAGCAAGAGAAGAGAAAAAATGCACGGAACGACGCACTCCCGCTCCCGCCATTAAGCAGTCAAGTAAGAACTGTAAAAAGTTTTAAAATAATACTTTAAAAATTATTGTCGGCTGTAGGTTTAATTTTGCGTTTAAAAATCAAATTGTAACAATAAAGGTGTTTGTGTATGCAAACAAAAACAAAACCCGTTTCTTTCTTAGTAGTGCCAACAACTACAGTAAAAAGATTTAAGTGTGCAAAGCCAAGAGTTCAGTGTATTCTAATCGATGCAAAAAAACATTTCCTCTTTATAGAGTACAAGTACCAGAAACAACAACTTCACCTGCCAAAACTGAAACGCAAGAGCAATCAATGCTTCGATCATCTAAACGTGTCCTTCACGCGCAGCAATCGCGGCAATGCTTTGCTAACCATCGATGGCAAACCCTTTACACTAAATCGAAGGATCAAAGACGCGTGCTACTGGGAGTGCGTAAAGATGCGATCTAAATATATTAAGTGTACAGCTCGTGTGGTTACCAAATATAATCAGGTCTCTGCGCTGCGCGGCCAGCACAATCATCCTTAAGCTGTTAGTATTTAAGTCATCAAATTAAATAAATAGCAAAAGATTCATTAACTAGTATTAACATTTTGTTGTAGTGGAAGTTTTCGAATGTTGTTTCTCGGTCAATTTTGAATTAATGCCATGTTATCTTTGTAATTTATTGCAGGAGGCGTTTGGATACAGCGTCGCTACAGACTGATGCGGAATCGTCGGGGAGGCCACAATCTTGTCTATAATGGACATATGTATACAATAGAGCGCAAATACCACAGCACTATTAACTGGGTATGTTGTAAGAGCAGCAAGGTGATGCGCTGTCCTGCACGTTGCACCACGAAGATCAATAGCGAAAATAACACTGTCAAGTTCGGCCATCGTTCCCACAATCATGCCCCCAACCAGTTCAAATACCACGATTTGAATAGAGGACGAGGGCGTGGGCGTCGTCCTCAAAAATATTAGTATTGTGTTCACCAATAAAATCATGCCTCACTAGTTAATGTACGTGTGTCTCTCTATCTTATAGTAGCTAACATTTTAACACACATACACACATCCTGCTGTTCATTGCACTAATCTCGAAACTAATCCCTCATCTCTTGTGTACTCGCTTCTATTTCTCTTCTCGTGCAGCAGTGCCACGATTAAAATGTCAGCCCAACTCTGTGTGCATGCGCGATGGCTATGTCCTAATCGACGATTATCGTTTTGTGATCGGTTCCCAACAGGAGCAGCGTTGTTATTTAAAATGCGCCAACTTTCGCAGCCAGTGTCGCGCACGTGCCGTCCAAAACAAGCTGACGGGCTCGGTCCAGTTGCGCCGAGTGGCGCATAATCATAGTCGGCAGCAGCAGCTGCGTCGCAGATACTCAAAATGTTGAGCAAGTACAAACACCAAATAAACAACAAAAAATGCAACATTTATGCCTCTGCTTTTCACTAGTCCTTATACATATCAACAATAACAATACAGTCATCAAGTTCATAAAATCTTTGTTTTACAAGCAAACTAATCGTATGATCTCTCCACATTATTTTCCAGCCAACGATGCCTTAGCCAGCATGCCAATCGCTGAATATGTATCATCCAATCGTGGCACCAATCTAGTTTTCTTTGAGGGCAACACCTACACACCCAATGCGAAGCTGCGTGAGGGACAAAGTTCGCGAGACTTCAAATGTTCCATGTACTATAAGGCACGGTGTCGTGCCCGGCTAACCATAAAGATTACACGTGTGGGCGATCGCATTAACGTGATCAGCAATTGGCACACCCACGCGCCCATGTACACGCAACAGAAGAGCGAGGAGATGGGCGAGAGCGCGCCTGCTTGGCGACTAGTCCGCAATCCACTTTGCTTATCAACGCGAAAAATACAACAGGAAAAAAAATCGTGAGTTGAATTAACTAAATCACAGTGCGAGTGTCGGCGAAAAATTAGTTAAATTTCCCAGTATAAACATTATTAATGAACTTATTTGTGATATTCTTAAGAAGTTCATTGAGATGCAATTGTAAAATTTAAAAGATCCTCACTAATTGTCTAATATGACAAATTAGACATCATCTTGACTAGAGAAAGATTTCGAACATGTTACCCTTACTAGTTTTAGCTTTAAGCTAACATTATAAGATAATAATAACTATCGATTCGGATAGAAACTTTATAAAAACTGCAAATTACATTATAATTAATATTCTGAATCATTATTATCTACACCAGTTAAAAGAATTGCGTTGGAAAAAGGGTCTGCCAATTCACAAAGTTCTTGTTAAATGCGTAGTGCAATTAATTAATTAAAATGACAACATTAATTCATTCGATAACGTAGGTCCTTTCAAACAAACATAAGCTAACAACTTATTTGTGATATTCTTTTAAATTGAACAGTTTATTTGAAATGTTATTAAGAAGTTGAGCAGATTCTCCGAAAGGTATAAATAAACTCAAAATCGAAATCAAAATATTTAATTATTCATCTACTATCGGATAGATGTTAATTATTTCTTAACTAACACTGATTTAAGGTATATTTACATCATGATAAGTTAATAGGAAAAAACCATTGAATAAAATTAAACACAATATCGGAGCTCTCCTTTTACTAAACAGTAACATGTAATAATATAAAAATAAAATTTGGTAATACAATATGTATATAAATACTATTAAAGATACAGTCAGAGTTCGAATACGAACGAAATTAAAGAATAATTAAGAAGAGAAGAGCCTAAGGAAATCAAAAACGTAATTTACATTTTACTGACACTTTTCATTTTCTTTTCTTTCAGTGCTTGATCGTTTCACAAGAGAGCTAAAAGTTGATAGCGTTACGGATGAGCATGGCAAGCCATTAGCACGACATCAGTTGCCCATTTTACGGCTTATTGAAGGTCAGCGAAGAACGCCACAACTGGTGTACGAGAACTATGCCTATGCAAAAAATAATACTCATCGTCGAACGACATATTGGAACTGCCGAAGTCGTCGCATTGGAGCGCCGCCTTGCAATGCTCGGCTCAGCACATCATTGCTGAAAAATGGAAGTTTTCAGGTCTGCCTGAAGCGTCCCGTACATAATCATGAGCCGTCTGCTCGCATTGTGCGGATGCTAAGTCTATATAATGATGCTCTAGATGATAAGTAGCAAATATATGCGAAAATTGCGCCAAACAAAAACTGCCTACTACTCTCTCCTCTAAATAATTATTTAAGTTAGCTAAGATAGATC